CGCTTCCCTCAGGAGGCTGTATTTGGGTGGCGCTTCCCTCAGGAGGCTGTATTTGGGTGGCGCTTCCCTCAGGAGGCTGTATTTGGGTGGCGCTTGATGTTTCAGGGGCTCAGGGGTGTTACGGGTGTTAATCAGGGTTGGGGAGTGAAGCGCTGCTCATTTCAGAGCAGCGCACTGTAGTTCTGAAGTTATCCTGACAATTCGAGACTCCGAGTTTAATAAACAGTGTATAAACTGGGTTTGGACTATCATCGTTTCATTGTTTTCCTGGAATTGATCTGCTCGACTTTTCTCTATGACTGGTTGTGAGGATTGAGTGGAGTGAATTGCACTTTCAGTGTACCCTGTCATACCGCATGGTCAAGTCTTCCGCTGTGTTATCTCTCCCTGTGCGGTGTGATACTCCTATCCTCTCCCCTTCCTTTTGTGTATGTATGGGCATACCTGGAAGTCTCTGTGAGTGAGTGTTGGCCTTCAGGCAACAAAAAACCAGAATCATAACAGTTGGTATCGGAGCTATTGGATCCAGACTCTGGAGCGATTGATGAGTTGGAGCACCCATCATCATCTGGCGAGAGTCTCATGGCGATTCATCATCTTCAGAGTTGTTGTCAGTAAGGGTGGTGGCTGTGAGTGTGTGGCAAGAAGAATTGGGCAGAGAATGACTCACTCCTGACTAGGGTTGTGCAGGAGTGATTGGCGATTGATACTCAGAGGCCTGAGAGGCTCTGAGAGGCTAAATTTAGCCTGGCGATTCATCTGGAGGTTGGCGATTGGTAAGGAAGTGACCCAGGAGGTGGCGATTGTGGACTTGGGTCAGGATCTCCAATTTCCAAGCAGCGGAGTACAGGGTGATGTGGCGCTGCACTAAAGTTGCCAGTTATTGGCACCTGGGAGTTCGATTTCTCTGAATCTGTCAGTTGGGGGTGAAGCGCCTCAGGGTAATCCACTGGATCACCAAGTTCGAGGCAATTTGGTACGTGGGAACACTGGATACTGTCAGGAGATGAAACTGGCGAGATGGGGTTGACCAGTCAGCCATAGCCAGAGTTTCATGCATCTTCTTCAGAGTTGACCCTGAAGTAAGTGTGTTCCTTACTCCATCCTGTGTGGCGATTAGGACTATTTTTAGGATAGCGAGCTTTGGTCTGTCTGTCAGGTGACAGTTGAAAATCGAAATTCAGACTGTGGGACAACCATGTCCAACTTCCCCTACCTATCTTCTTTGACTTCTACTAACCCTGTTTGACCTTCTTTCTGACTCATATTCCATTTGTGACTGCCTTACAGTATTGCGATTGACACAGTGTAGTGAATTGGTGAATTCAGGGTCCTGTCTTCAGTGATAATGCAAATTTGAATTTTGCGCTGACATAGTTGAAGCTAGGTTAGACTAGGGTCAGTCATAACTTTGATTATGTCCGTCAGAATTCAATTCTGTCAGTCCCTGGTAAATCGCAATTCGGTAATTAGTCAGTGTCTGAAATCGCACATCCAAATTTGGTGTCCTGAGTCAGTTACAGTGAAAACTGTAATTCGCCATACCCAGGGTATGGCATACAGGGTCATTCAGTGGTGAGGTCTGTAGGGTAGGTCTAAAAATAGGGTCAACTGTAAATCGCTACATCTTGGTCATCAGTGGGTACCTGTCTAACCCTAATTAGTCACTCTGTCTAATTACTAATCACTACTAATCAGTCCAAGACTGCGTCCTGTCAATTGTTGAAGCAGGATTTGCAATATTGCATACAATTGTTGTGTCAGGGCAAGGATGGAAAAATTGTGAAATTGATTTTTGCCTGAGTGGTCACTAAACTGACTCTGACCCTCAAGTGGTCTGCTGAGACTGAGCACTCACTTGCTCAGACTAACCAATCTTCTCTCTCCAGGCAGGTGACAACAATTGAGTGAGTACTGAAGGGAAACCTCAATTCCTGTTACCTCCTGCGTTGTCCTTGATTGTTTGTTTATTTTTATTTATCTGTATTGTGGGTGAGCAAAATGGTTGATTCTGGGAAGGCAGCACTGTCTCAGAAGGCTGAGACTTCCGATGAGAAGCCTCAGGTACAGCTCAAGATTACGGTACAGCCTGAGACACCTGTTCTGCTTGACCCTTTAGAGGCTGGACTGGGCCCTGGAGGAGACACTCCGCCAGCAGGCCCAGGCAGTTGAGTCTCTAAAGGCTGAGTTGAAGAAGAAGGAAGAAGCAGCTCAGAATGAGGCTAGGAGAAAACTTCTGATCGCAGATGTGGAGAAGGTCAGGACAAGTGGTAGTTCCCGTCAGTATAACAAGGACATGGCTGAATTCATCCTCTTGCAGGATGATATTCACCGTTCTTATTTTACTAACTCGGATGACCGAATTACCAGTTTGGAGAATAGCCACTCAGCTATTTCAAAGAAGCTGGATGACATTTCTGCCAAACTGTATCTGATCTTTACACACTTAAAGATCCCTACCACTTCCCCTGCTCCTCCCTCTCTTGGACCTTCTCAAGGAAAGCCCACATCAACCCCATAATCCAGACCTACATCTCCACCCTCTACACCCACATCAACAGCAACTTCTCATCCCTCAGCACCATTTGAGTTTCAGCGGCCTAAGCTGACACCTCCACCCATGTTCTCAGGCGAGGACCCAAAGGTGGATGTTGCAGATTGGGTCGCTGCCCAGAGAACCCACCTGAGTGGGTTCAAATGTGATGAGGATGTCAAGGTGTCTGCCATCCTTGCTCACTTGGAGCGGGCTGCACTGAAATGGTGCACCTCTACCTCCAGCAACCAAGGTATGGAGATGTCTGATTGGGCACAGAGGTTGGGGGTGGCTGGATTTCTGCAGGCACTGCAGGACCGGTTTGCAGACAAGGAGCAGGCCAGGAAAGCAGCATACAAAATTTTGCGCCTGGGCCAGAAAAAAGTTCGATGGCTCCTTGTCCAAACTGTACTCCGCCTTTGAGAGTCTTACGCCGACTCCTGGGTTGGAGATGAGTGAGCAGGATCTGCTCATTCATTTCATCAGGGCAGCTCCTGAGCAATTCCAGCTTGCTCTATTCTCTCAGGGCCACAAGGACTGGCGGTCCTTTGGCAGAGCAGCCCTGGACTTGGAGTCCAAGCTCCATGTTCAGGAAGCACCTTCTGAAGGAAGGAAGGGACCCTCCTCCAAAGGGCGAAGGAGGGGTAAGGGTGCCCTGGTTGCTGCTGCAGCTTCAGACTCAGATATTGACGCAGCATCCCAGGGTGGGAGCCCTCCACCTGGGACTGCATCATCATCTGCTGCAGATTCTGCTGTTCTTGCCCTGGCTGATGCTTTGATGGGCTTGACAAAGGGCAAGGCCCCAACCCAGAAAGCATCAACCAGTAAACAGGGGAAAGGAAAGGGACGTGCCTCTTCCCCTGGTGCCCAGAGAGTGCCTTTACCACGCGACGTCCGATGGCCAGCTGATCCCCTTGATCCTTCCACCTTCCCCTGGCATGCACTCAAGATCCAGGAGGGGGTATGGAGGAAGAGAAAGGACAAGGGGGTCTGCCTGAGATGCGAGGGGGAACACTTCCTGAAGGACTGTCCCAGCATGCCTCGTAGGTCTACAGGCAGCTCTAGTTCAAAAAACTAGAGCAGAGAGAGGTGGAGGCAGGAGCTCCTTCCACCAGTGCTGATTCACTTTCTGATGAAGGTGAATCTTCACATTCTCTCGCTGGTTCTTCTATCTCTGGGGTTGCATCTTCAGGGTCTTTCACTTTTGAAGACTCTAAGTTGGATGAGACATGGGAGGAGGAGGATGCTCAGCGTCTTGCTGATCTTTTCCTGTCTTTGCAGGAAAAGAAGAAGAAGCATAAGTCTGAACTCATCCTGCTTCGACCCTTCATCCTGGGAGCCAAGATCAAAGGACTTTTGGACTGTGGGGCTACTCGCAACTTCATCTCTCCCAAGGCAGTCAGCAAGCTGCACTTGGATCAGAGGTTGGTGAAATTGCAATAACCTATTGAGGTTCGCATAGGAGACTCTTCCACAGTCAGGAACACTACTGCTGTCAAGGGCCTACCTGTGTCCTTTGACAAGCAGGGAGAAATCAGGCATCGCCTGAATTTCTCTGTGTTCCCCAATGTTCCCTTTGACCTTGTCTTCTCCATGCAGTGGCTTGGTGCCACCAATCCTAGGATCGACTGGTGGATCCCTAGAGTTGAACTGCCTGACCGGCATGGGGTATATCGCCCTTGCATGCTCGCTGACAAGTACCATCCGGCCAGCAGTTGTTATTGCATGAGTGCTCACAGATTTCTGTGATTTTCACGCCAGACTGACCACGCCTGTTTGTTCGTGGCCTATGTCAAACAGACTGACGTGGAGATTGCTCCCTGTCCCTCTCAGATTCAGCAGGTGGTAGACAGTTTCGCAGATCTTATGGAGGAGCCTACTGGACTTGTCCATAAGCAAACCAAACATAAGATTGAGATCCTGCCTGGTTCGGTCCCTCCCAAGGGCCGAGTCTACAGGATGTCCCTTGCTGTACTTGAAGAGCTCAGGAGACAATTGGAGACCTTGACCAGTAAGGGCTGGATCAGGCCCAACACATCTGAGTTTGGGGCACCAGTCCTCTTTGTTCCAAAGGGGAATGGTGAGTTCAGGATGTGCGTGGACTATAGAGGTCTCAACAAAATCATGAGGAAGTCTACAAAACCCTTCCTCGCATTGATGATCTGTTGGACATGGTGCAGGGTTGTACCATCTTTAGCAAGATCGACCTCAAATCTGGCTATCACCAGATTGATGAAGGTGATGTCCACAAGACTGCCTTCAGAACCAGGTATGATACTTACGAGTACCTGGTTATGCCATTCGGTCTTTGCAATGCCCCAGGCACCTTCCAAACAGAGATGCATCGCATACTCAGGTCTTATCTGGACAAGTTCGTAGTTGTCTACCTTGATGATATCTTGGTATTCGGTCGATCTGTCCAGGAGCATGCGCAGCAACATCTAGCCCCCGTCCTCCAGGCCTTACGTGACAACCAGTACAAGATCAGCGGAGAGAAGTCCTCTTTTGGGGTTCCCTCTGTAGTCTATCTGGGTCACGTCATTTACGGTGAGGGGTTGGCTCCTGAAGCAACAAAAGTTGTTGCAGTTCAGGACTGGCTGCGACCTGCTAACATTCATGATGTCCGGGCTTTCTTGGGGCTTGCATCCTACTACAGGAAGTTCATTAAGAACTCTGCGATTTCAACACCAATGACTGATCTTACAAAGAAAGACACTTCCTTTCTTTGGACATCAGAATGTCAGGAGGCTTTCACACGTCTCAAGGAGGCCTTGATTCGTGCTCCTGTCTTGAAGCTACCTGACCCTACCCTGCGTTTTGTGCTTACTACTGATGCTAGTCAGTATGGTGTAGGGGCGGTACTTCACCAGGATGATGGGAATGATCTGCAGCCTATCGAATATATGAGCAAGAAGATCAAAACAAAGAAGCTGCAGGATTCTACCTATGAGAAAGAGCTTTATGCTCTTGTGTCAACGCTCAAGCATTGGAAACACTTTCTCCTGGACAGGCACTTCAAGATCTTTTCAGATCATTCCACCTTGCAGTGGATGAAGTCCCAAGGAGAGTTGAATGATAAGCTTGCTCGCTACATTCAGTCCATTGACATGTTTGACTTTGAACTGAAGCACAAGAAGGGCTGCTATAATCGAGTAGCAGACGCCCTCTCTCGTAGGCCTGAAGCTCTTTTCCTGATCATCTTTACTCACTCATTTGAAGAGAGGACCCGTCAGACCATTGCCCCGTTGTTGCCCCACGATGAGATTTTTGGGCCTATTGTGAGGAATCTCCAGGATGATCCTGCCTCTGAACCAGGATATACTCTGGTCTCAGGTTTGCTGTATACATGCAGCAGAGGTGAGGAGCGCCTGTGCATTCCCCAGGACCGCAAGCTGAGGACCCTTCTGATGTTAGAGTGTCATGATGCTCGTGGTCACTTTGGTGCCCTCAAATCTTATGCAGCCCTATCGCAGCGCTTCTTCTGGAAGGAGATGAGTGACATGCTGCACTATGTGGAAACATGTGAGTTATGCCAAAGGAACAAGGTTGTACGGCGACCTCCCTTGGCCTACTCAAACCACTACCTATCCCGGATGCACCTGCACAGTCAGTGTCTATTGATTTTACTGACTTGGGTAGGACTACTCCTCGTGGTATGCGTTAGGTCATGGTATGTGTGGATCGGTTCTCCAAATATGCAGAGTTCATCCCCTTACCAGCTGAGGCTCGTGTGCTAGCCGTTCAGGCGGCCTTTGCTGACAGGTGGGTTACATATCATGGATCACCCACCTCCATTGTCGGTGACAGAGATCCCCGGTTTTGCAGCAATGAATGGCAATCCTACTGCAGGGAGTACCTTCATTCACTCCTGGATATGACATGTGGTCGTCATCCTGAAGCCAATGGTCAGGCTGAGGTGATGAACCAGATTCTCTTCCAGCTGTTGCGTCCTGTGATCAGTCCAGATCAACAGGACTGGGATCTTCATTTGAGTCGTGCACAGCTTGTGTACAACACGTATGTACACTCCTCTACTGGCTTCACACCCTACCGGTTGCACTGGGGTCGTTAGCCACGGCAGCCTCTCGATGACATCATCGATAAGGCTACCCCTACGCTGACACCTGGAACTGCAAAGTTCACTAGGCGTTACCGTGTGGACATAGAGCGCACCCGTGCTAACCTACTGAAAGCCCAAAAGGCTATGATTCAGCAGGCTAACAAGCACAAGCGTCCTTCTACTATTCGCACAGGTGACAAGGTGTGGGTACTCAGTTCTGAGCTGTCGCGAGAGGAGGACATTTCGCTTAAGCTGTTGCCACGATATATGGGTCCATGGCAGGTCTTAGATACAGTGGGAGCTGACCCATTTGGACCCTCCTATACAGTGGATGTCCCTCTGCTTCTACAATCCTACCCTGTCTTTCATGCATCTAAGCTGCTGCCGTTCACGTCGGCTGATGCATTCCCAGACAGGCCCCCTCAGTTTGGTCCCCCTATCCCTGGCAAAGGATATGAGGTCGAAACTGTGGAGGATGAGTCAGGTTCAGGTCCAGATAAGGAGTACCTTGTGAAGTTTCTGTACCAGCCACATACTGAGGACCGCTGGTTTACTCGCAAGGAACTTCTGAAGACTGCCAAGTCAGTAATCCTCAAATATGAGGCAGCACAGAAGGGAGAACCCCTTCGACGTTCTGCACGCCTACGCCACTAGCTCGGAGGTCCTCGCTCCGGGGGAGGGTAGGTCTGTAATGACTTGCTGTTTTCTGGTTCCTGGTAGCCTCTCTCTGTCGAGGCTGTACTATAGGTAGGACAGATTCACAATTTTGTTTGGCTGAGGGCTAACCGAGGGACCTACCTGTGAGGGAAATTCGTGAGGGAAATTCGTGAGGGACATATCTGCAAATGCGGGAAAATACAGGCCCGGTACTAACAGGACTCCCTACAGCTACCCTAACTGCGAATAGCAGGCCCGGGCTACCCCTAGGACAGACAGGCCCCAATGGCCTATTCTGATAGACGGTCCTATAGCCTATAGCCGGGTCCGGTAGAGGCCGAGAGGCGAAACAGATATGGTACCGGTTGGTCAGTCAGTCCAGTCTAGGTCGAGTCTAGGCTAGTGGTAGTCTATAGATAGATTAGGCACACCGGTTCAGGGCTTTTGGCAGTTGGTACCGAGTACATCGCTGCTGTGCTACGCGTGAACCAGAAGTGGTGACGGCTCAGCGTGGAAGGAGACAGGCATAGCCAGACCTTCGGAGCGCCTGCCATAGCTGGGACCTGCGCTGTACTCTGCCAGCACGCAGGGGCTGACAGAGGTCTGGGTTATCGAGGTCTGCTGGAGGCGAGAGAGATTGGTGCCCTGCTGGGCCCTCCTCCGGAGTGGGGTTCCAGGGTTGCGGTGCTGCAGCCATAGCTGCAGCTTCTTCCTCAGAGGTCATCTTGTCAGGGTTTGGTGGCGCTGCTGCAGACTTCCACCCGGGAAGTCAGGGTGGCGCTTCCCTCAGAAGGCTGTATCTGGGTGGCGCTTGATGTTTCAGGGGCTCAGGGGTGTTACGGGTGTTAATCAGGGTTGGGGAGTGAAGCGCTGCTCATTTCTGAGCAGCGCACTGTAGTTCTGAAGTTATCCTGACAATTCGAGACTCTGAGTTTAATAAACAGTGTATAACTGGGTTTGGACGATCATTGAGTGGAGTGAATTGCACTTTCAGTGTACCCTGTCATATCGCATGGTCAAGTCTTCCGCTGTGTTATCTCTCCCTGTGCGGTGTGATACTCCTATCCTCTCCCCTTCCTTCTTGTGTATGTATGGGCATACCTGGAAGTCTCTGGGAGTGAGTGTTGGCCTTCAGGCAACAAACAACCAGAATCATAACACCGGTTTCATTTCACTTACCCTCAGATGTCTATCCAGATTCTTCTGCTGCCTGTCTCATTTCACTTACCCTCAGATGTCTATCCAGATTTTTCTGCTGCCTAGCCCTTGAACATAAGCAGAATATGCCCTGCGATGCTGCTGTGGGAGACTATGGGGAGAGAGACTATGATTGATCGGCAGATACATTAAGTTCCACTCTTCTTCTTCATCCCCTTTCATCGCTCTCCTTCATTACCCTTCGTCAGTGTGTTTATCGCGCCATATGTGTGCTACCAGGCAGCATTCTTCCATGTATGAGCTGCCCAGCTCGACTCAGTTGCATGATGGATGATGTCTGTGTCATATCTCGAGTCTAATGAGTCAGATCTGTATATTTCCAGCCTTGCCCTGCATTGTTGTTGTTTCTCCCATTGGTGATATTATTGGGTCTGCTACATGCCCATCTGAGACTTTTGGGCATGCGACAGGGCACTTCCCAATCAATCATGACAAAGAGCTGGTAAATGTTGCACCTGACAAAAGGGAGGGGGGGGGGAAAGGAGTGCAGCGACTCAGTGAGCCTAAATCTGCAGAGGAATGTGGGTGGGAAAACAGCGGAGTCTGGTGAAGATGGCTGAGGAAGCGCTAACATTCACACCGCCATTTCATGTTTTGTTCATTTTGATACTGGGAGGGTGGGAGAAGACATGCCATTATACGACATTCTCAAGGAATTTCAGCGAGGCCATAGTCACATGGCCATTGTTGTCCACGAGAAACAGGATGATGATAAGCTCGAGAACTTGGAAACCTCTAACGGGACTCGGCAGGGGACTGGAGTTGATTCAGAGGAGGAAAGACTGGCAAAGCTTCGCCGTCGGGGCCTTTTACGAGGTCAGTTGGTCCTTCATTCTTTCTTTGCTCTCAAATGATTGAGGACAGTTGGAAAGCAATTTTTATATTAACGACTTGAATGAAGTTCAATCCCCCTTTTTATCATAGATTTGCACCGGAGTCATCTTTGGATTTGATTTCTTATAAAATCATGCTATGGTGTATGATCCGCAAATCACAGTTTGTACTTCAAGGGGCATGATTTCTTAAGCATCGTTTGCAGGTAGGAAAAAAGTCGTATTTACTTAGAGCGGAATGGAGGGCTGGTGGACTCTACTGGCGCTGGCCTATTTGACCTCTTTTGGGAGATTTTCAGCAATTGGTCAGGACTCTTCCGTTTTGAGAACATATCAATAGAGAAGCTTCTAACCTTTAGTATCACGTGGAAAGCACCTGCATCGTTGCAATACAATGTAGACATTGTAGAGGCAAAAGCAGAAATCCCGGCCGTTGATCATCGGAAGATTCTAACAAATCTCAAATCCGGGCCATCGCGATCCTTCCGGAGCGACGACCCAGATCGTCTATAAAATGTAACAAATCTGCGATCTGCGCCGTTGGGTCCTACCGGACCGACGGCCTGGATTGAAGTGGTCTTAAACCACCAGTACCCCACCCAGCCAAAAAGTTTTGCCTTCCTGAATTTATAGAAGACCTTGGAAGGCTTGGTAGGGGCTCGGTGGAGCCTCAGCACAGGTGTAGATAGTAGCTCGTTTTGAAAATGAGAACGAGCAACCAGAGACCACAGGAGCCAAAAAAAAAAAAAAAAGCAGAAAAAAAGGAAAAAGAAAATATTGCTGAGGTCCTGTGAAAGAAAACGCCCATCTGCACGGCGTGGATAGCGGCTTGGTGTTTTGAAACAAACTGGGCCCGCTGCTGTACTCTCTGTATGTGCAAATTGATCATGAATTTTCCCAAAAACATAGGAAGGATACAGACATGATTACCACGGCCCTGACAGAGCTCCAATTTGTCGTTTGTGAATGACAGGCCGTGCATTAAGGAAAAAATCTTTGTTTCCGCTTTTTTTTCCTTTTCTTTTGCTTCTTTCTTCCAACTGACTACGTCCGTTGGGTAGGGCATACTCACACCTGGAGAGAGATCCCACTAGCCATGTATGTGGATTGGTGTGACGGGTGTGGGACGGGTGGGGGACAGGTGGGTGGCGGCGTGAAACATGGGAAATAAATGCAAAAAACCATTTCATTGCAATCAGACTCGACTTGTTCACACTTTTCATGCACGTGAACAGCAGCACACAACTGGCGACATGCGCCCACACAGTACACAGAGATATGTCTTCCAGGTAAGTTCGCTTCCACTGGCTATGGCGACTAAGCGCCCTTACAACTCACTGTTCACACTCTGGATCACCCTGGATGTCCCACACGCAACACTCTGTAACCACACGCAACACACACACACACTACTGCAGCTATGGCAGCGCTAGCTGCCACTACACTAGCGCTATACTACACTCCTCTGCCCACTTCGTCTTCGGGCACACTGCAGACCTCCTCGCACAAGCTGCTGAGGCAGCGTGTTACATCTTCGACGCCACACGGGTCCTACCGGACCCGACATAGGGGTAGAGGGACACAGTAGGGCCAAAGGCATGACCTTGGGGGTACTACAGGCCGTAAAGGCCTTACCTTGGACCAGACCCGACGGGCCGGCCCAAACGATATTACCGTTTGGGCCTGGCGGCGCTCTTGAGGCTGCCGCCCGCCGGTTGGGGCTGAACCGTCCATCTGGACGGTTCAGGGCACGGTCAGGCCTCGCAGCATAGAGGCCGACCTCTGCCCACCGGTACAAAAGTACCGGTCCAGCCTCAGTGAGGCTATCGACCAACTGGCATTCTACCGGTACGGTATGGTACAGCGCGATACAGCGCTGGCGCTAAACTTAGCGCAGGAGCAGCGAGGAGCAGCAGCGCAGCATTAGCGCAGCAGCAGTGAGCAAGCAGCAGCAGGGCGACTGAGTGTACCGGCGGCCATCGCCGCCTGAGGTATCGGGAGCTGGAGGCCTCTCTCCTCCCTCCCCTCGCCAGTCCCTCTCTCTCTCTCTCTCCTCCTCGGCTCCTTCTTCTTCTTCTTCTTCTTCTTCTTCTTCTTCTTCTTCTTCTTCTTCTTCTTCTTCTTCTTCTTCTTCTTCTCTTCAGACTCCATCTTCTTCTTCTTCTTCTTCTTCTTCTTCTTCTTCTTCTTCTTCTTCTTCTTCAGATTGGAGACTTATACTAGTTGGACAGAGATCAGAGTTGGACTTCGGTGGTATGAGACTGTGGTACTTACCGGATTGGAGACTTGGAGATTGTTGGGGTTGAGACTTGGCGGCATCACAGTTTGGACACCGGTTACATTTGGACTCTGTATCTCCGACATTGGTGATTGATTGTCCTCGACATTTGATCTTGTTGGATGACATTTTGGACTACCATATCGGTGACCTATCGGATTCTATCTCGGTGACCTATCGGGGCTGTCTACCTCCCCCACCTCCTTCGTCTCTCCTCCCACCTTTCATCTGTGTATGTGTGTACGGGATCTGGACATCGTCCATGCTTGGCCCAGACCCCACCATCTCACGATTGTATGTGTGTGGAGTGATGCTATGTGAGTCAGTCTATTAGAGTCAGTCTATGTGAGTCAGTCCGTTTATCAGACTTCCGCTGCATATATGCTCATCCTACATTGGTTGATCTTTGGTTCTGCCCATACTCATTGAAGTATGTAACAGTTTTGGTATCGGAGCAGACCAAACCAATAACGGATCTGCTCACCAGGTAAGACTGATTTAGGAATTAGATTGTTCTTCAATCTTCCAAATCAGCGCTGAATTACTATCAAGTTCAAAGTTGCAAATTTTTTTTTTTTTTCTTGTTCGGTATTCTATTTATTTCGGCATTTCCGTTTCAATTCGGTATTCGGACTTATAATTCGGATTTCTGTTTTCTCCCGGTATGCTGTTTATTTGGGTTCCGATTGAGTGATACTAATCCGATAATTAGTTAAGATTCGGATTTCTGATTTTACACGTATTAGGGTTGAATCAGTGTCATGTTGAACTTCGGCTTTTCTGCTTTCCATTAAGCATTTCGTTTTTCGGCATTCTGTTGCAAATCCTATATTTCGTTTTCTTTTGGATTTCCGTTATCTTTCAGTATTGGAAATTAGGGTTACGAAAATCTTTTGGTTTTAGATCAACTTGGGGAAATTCGAACGTTTTGGGACCGTAAATCCGGAAATTCCGCCGAAACGCGGAAAATTAGGGTTGGGACCGGAATTTTCGCGATTTTTTTTTTTCATTCCCCTTGTTTGAGAAATTCCGAAAACAGGTTTAGGCTTTTAAAAATCGGATTTTGACGGTGGAAATTCCCGAAAATTCACGTTTTTTGGATTTCGAGTGTTTTTCTCCTGATTTTGGTCCGAAAATTTTGGCAAACTAATCCGACTCTGACCCTCAGTATTGCAACTTCCGGGTAGTTCACTAATTAACGGTGAACTCCCGGACCGAAAGTGATCTCAAAGAGACCTGATCTTAATACAATTCAAAATTCGTTCATTATCATTATTGCAAAGATTGTTTTAATTGATTATCGTTAGGAAATCATTATTGCAAAGATTGTTTATTGATTATCCTTAAGAATTATTCTTTCGTATTAATCATTAATTAAATTTATTGATTAAATAATTCGTTATTATTCTTCTTATTACAAATTTTCGAATTGTTTACGGAAATTTTATTTTTTCTGTTTGATTAGGTGTCTTAGTCCATCCTTGGGACAGGGACTGCATGTATATTGCTTGATCTGTTCTATCCCTGTGCCCACCCTCTCCCTCAAACTGTTCTGCGATCCTCCGGACGAGCCAGCCTTCAGCAACAGTTCCTGATGCCAGCAGGGCCAGCCTCCGAACAGCAGCCACGACGCAGCAAGCGGATCGCCGATCGCCAACAGCAACAGCAACAGCAACCTACAGTTCTACAACCGCCACAGACCAGTACTCCGATGGTGAACACGCCATACGGCGGATCATCATCCGAGGGTTCGACAGCTAGTAATGCCGAACCCTTACCGGTCTGTCGAGTGCGAGAGTCGAATGAGCCCCTCCCGGACTTCATTCAGCGAATGCAGGACTATACAGCCGCACTCACTCAGGTCAAGGAACAGCAAGAGGCTGCCGCAGCCGAAAGACTACGGCTAGCAGAGGAAGCTGCAGCACAAACCCGGCGTCAAGCCGAGGCAGACCAGTTGGCGATCGATCAGCTCAACGCCGGCAGCGCTGAAGTTGTAAGTGCTAACCAAGCACAATGGACAGCGGTGCTCAACGGGATGCGTTATGTCCCGGCACCCGGCAGCAAGCCGACAACAATACAGCAAGAGAGGCACGACCTGGCAGATATTCTACTCCATACAATGCGCGCTGTCATTTGGAACAGCTCCATGGGGGAGCTGCATTCCCGGTCCACACTGCAGCTGCAGCACGATCTGAGCCACAAMGTGAAGATACTTGCAGCAGCTGTCAAGGTCGCGGACAACCAGTTGAAACAGCTGGATGCACGCATTGCTACCTTGGAGGCAACGCCTCCCCAAGCAGCGCCAGGCTGCACGCCAGATATGACAGACACAACGAAGCAGCTCAATGGGCGCATCGATCATGTCGTCAATCTCATCGGCAACGTAGGTGTTTTCAATGGGCCAAACACGATCAGTAGCACGGTGGCCGCCATCAAGACGGACATCACCAAGCTGCAGACGAAACCAGACGCCGCCACGAAGAGTTACAAGATGCCGCACTTCGACATCAGCAAGTTCGACGACCACAACAAGACGGACGCTTTGGCATGGTGGCAACGTTTCCTCACGGAAGCATCCTGCCGCACTGTCCCGGACGACTATCTGATGAAGGCGTTATACTTACAGCTGATTGGAGGAGCGCAGGCATGGAGGAACCATCTGGCGGCTACCCACACATGCACCATCGCCGAACTTCACACGCACATCACGTGGAAGGAGTTCGAGCAGCTATGGTTCACCCGGTTCATGGTCCGCAACGTCGTGAAGGCGGCCATGAATGAGGTGTACACATGCTCTCAAGGGAACATGCCAACTCGAGACTGGACAACCAAGTGGCAGAAGATAGTGACCACGCCAGGCTTCGATTTGACTTTTCCTAATCAACGATCCGAGTTTTTCTCACGATCGTGCRCGGGATTGCGGTCGGCACTCGGTAACGAGTACGACTATACCTCGTTCGAGGCTATCCTGGATCGCGCAAACCTGGTTATCCAAACGGACGACAAGGCCGCTAACGAGAAACAATCCCAGCCGCATTATGTGGCTAAGCAGGGCTATCAACGTTCGGCACATAACAATGCCGTAATTTCTGAAGCAACAGACGATCTCCACGCTGCAGCAGCATCCTCGAGTGATGGAGGAATTGTAGCAGCGCTCCCGCCGAAGCGTCCTAAGAGGGTCCGGAAACCCAAGGCGACACAAGAGACGGCATCGACGGGAACTGGGCAGCAGCCATGGACGGCCTACAACATCACCAAGGAAGTCTATGAACTTCGTCAAAAGTATAGATATTGC